TTTTGAAGCATTACATCCAGACATAATGCAGATACCATAACAACTTATTGTTATACAAAAAAAAAAACCTGTGCTCTCACTCACAACAAGAAGAAACAAATCCAAACCACACTAGAAATGTCACTTTTCACCTCTCAGATTGGCAAATATAAAAGTATCTGACAATATAATGTATTGGCAAGGGAACATACAACCCTAAAAAATTATCCATAACATGAAAATGTGCATCTCTAAGAAAAGTACACTTGGCAGTACTCATCAAAATTTAATAAGACACTGAGGTTAGCGTAAACTGTGAAAATGGTGAGGCAAGGGTCTGGTTCTTTTCCTTCTCACATTTGAGATGTTAATATCGTGCTGACTGCACAACTAGAAAAACAAGCTGGTTTTATCAAATGAATGAGCCTGACAACTACAGCTACTATAAACAATAAATGCTGCCTTACTTGGCTTCCAAAAATATCAGTGATGCAAGCCATTTCCTGATAAGTACCTAAGCACAGGCTTCCAAGGTACCTTCTGCTTGTCCCCTATGCCTTTATTACAGTTTGCAACAATGTACTGATCTGAGGGTACCTTTCTTCCCCTTTAAACTCCTTGAGGACAGTGCAATGTCTGACTCTTTAGAATTTTAGTTTAGTGTCTGGTCCATAGCAAATATTCACTCTATATGGGATTCATTCTTTCATTTAAAACTTACTATGAGCCTAGTGGGTACTCTACTAAAATATAAATTTATGGACCAAATAGGGCAAATTAGTTTTTTCTTCATTCTAGGTACAATCAAAAATTAGATAAATAACCAAATACATACATAAAGCTATACATAACAAAATTTTCTTTAAAAACAAAGCCTTATGGATCTATGCCATTTTTCTATACTAAAATTTAGTATGAATAATCTCTATCCCATAGAAGCTTCAACCTCATCCAATTCTTCCTGTCCTCTTCCAGGTCAACAGTTTACAGTGTAGTAGCATCTATCTGCAATGAGCTTTTGCCTTCAGATACATACCAAAACAGAGTAGTTGTCATATACAATCGAATCACCACTACCTACCTCCTCTGGCTCACTTCCTTCTTACTCTTGACAAGATTCAATACTTACGAGAACACTTTTTTCCTTCAGTGTTTTCCTCTTACTTTTGGTATTTGTGAACAACTAAAGAATTTCTTCTGGCTTCTTTGATATAACAACGATACGAAAATCTCATTGGATAGATTTTTGGGAATAATCAACAATAATGGAGCAAAAATTGAAAAAATTGGTTCTAAACTACAGAGGCTGTGGCCACAGTGCGTGTGAAGCTGAAGACACTGCCTTGCCTTTGAGGGGAACAATAAATAGCAAATGGTTGTGCTAGGCTGGCAAGGTACCTGTCACCCTGAGTTAACACTTACCAAATAAGTAAGAGCAGCCTAATAGTAGCTGAGCATTTCCCTTTACCAGTGTAGAAAAGTTTATAAACACTGTTGATAATGAAAGAACCAAGAAGATAAAATATTTCTCTATGAATATGAATAAATGCATAGTTTAGAAAATAAAAAATAAAAAGTAGGTCATCAAAATGATTTTTTTAAGCTGATGAAGAAAGTATTCTGGCTCTGTATAAATTAAAGCAAGATGGAATTCAACAGCCTCATTCCGTCTCCATTTCCAGCAAAATACCACACAACATTAACTTGCTTTGCATAAGACAAATGGAAACAGGCCTGCAATGCATCACAACCACAATATATATAACAAGATGGAGATGAACAATGAAACTTCCAGGGAAACTTACAGTATCTATGTTAGTGCCTTGCCTCAGAGCTGCATTTGCATATAAATGTCTTATAATAATTTATTTCACTAGGGTTAGCCAGAGACTATGCACGTTGGGAATGGAAGGGGATTTTTGCCTATATCCCAATTTCTCTTAAGGAAAACAGATTCTTCTATCTCTAGCAATAAGTCTTGAAATAGTAAAATAACAATTATGATGGCACTAATAACCCCACTGTGGTTTTACTTCCCTGTGAAACAGATGTCACTAATATCTCAGGAAAATTTCATCACATAAGCATCATGCATGCCTCAAGGAATAACTTGATAATATCCTTTCTAAAGGAAACAACAATCATTTCTGAATGACTGTGATTAATTTAAGGGAATTAAGTCTTGAGGAGTTTTAAGGCACCTTATAACTATCAGAAACTAGCTTCCAGAAGTCAGTTCAGAATTGTCAGTTATTTGGAACCCCGGAACAAGAATTTGGTTTTCGATCTAATAATTTGGTTTACCCCCAAGTGATTATTTCCTCTGTAATGTTTTATTTCATAATAAAGGATTCTGGCCAAAAATATGTAGATTTTGACTTTTATAAAAGGTAACTATGTTATACAGGGGAAAAAAATGGAACATGAGCCATTTATTTGCTTCTTAGTAGCCAATGTACCCTGTCTACCAAAACAAAAAGAAAGAAAATCCTTTAAGAGAACAAGAAGAAGAAGAAGAAGAAGAAGAAGAAGAAGAAGAAGAAGAAGAAGAGAGAGAGAGAGAGAGAGAGAGAGAGAGAGAGAGAGAGAGAGAGAGAGAGAGAACAAACAAAAGCAACCTCTGCTGCTGACTCATTCTTCAAAGAAAACCATTTAGAATTTCCTGGGGCAAGGAGCTGACTCTCTGCTCTGCTTTTCCTGATTTGTAATCTCCACTCCTGAATTCTGGAAACAGCTGAGCCAATAGAAGAGAAAGAGGTCAAAATCCTATAAAAGACACTATGCTTTTAGGGCAACTATAATGAGAGCTGCAGGAAACTTATTGATCTGTGCCCTTTGCTTTATTTCCAGTATATATTACAGTAATGTTATTTCCCTATGAAAGTTCAGTCTATTCATCTGGGCACTTGCAACATCAGAGCAAATAGCAAAGCAGAATTTTAGAGTATTCATTAGCAAAGAGTCAAAAGAGTCAAAAGGTCTCTGCAGAAATGCAGGCACCCAGAAAAGAAAGAAGAAAAGCAAAGTTCAACTCTGAATCTCTGCATCACAACATGAGTGAAGAAAGACATTAAGACTGAAGAAGGCACCAATAATAAACATATGCATTGCTTTGTAGATGCATGTGCATGACGGTTCTTACTAAGCATGATAACCATTAACTTCATCTAAAGCAGGCAGCCCTGTAAGGTACCAGGAGCTCCAATACTGTCAGATCTGTTTTCCAAAACCCATGTTGATCAACCATCTGTTTTGAACCATTCAATAACGCTAGACAAGTAGATAGTAATTTGAAGCTTTTTTGTTGTTCCATTAGCAATTATAGTACTTTTGAAAGAAGTTCATGAGAGAATTATTTTTGAAGGATTTTTTAAGTCAGTATCAGTGTTATTTAGATATCCAAAAAAATCAGAAAATATGAATAGAATACATCAGCTTTTGCAAAATATTAAAATAAGTCTGAGACAATCTAGGACAAGTTAGCATTCTTTCTCCTTATTTCTGCTTAGTGTCTATTTTTAAAATGTGTACGTGCTAAGTAAAAACAGCAGAATCTCCTTAGTAGCATATTAAGAAAAGTAAAACCTCTAATGTATTACCATCTCCCACATAGAATATATCCATTCAAACAAATGACAAAAGTACTTTTTCTCATGTGACTTTTTTTCCTTGAGACCATGTCTCCCTGTGTAGCCTAAGCTGCCCATGACCTCGAGATCCTCCTGCCTCAAACATCTGAGCACTGAGATTATGAGTAAACAGCACCACATCCATTTGCTTTCTATTCTCCAAATAAATTGAGATCTGCACTGATGTTTTTCTCTCCCTTGCGACTGCAGCTTGTATGCCTGGTGTGTGTCAGGGGAGGAGGGTAGAAGTGAAGGAGGGAAGAATGAACAGATCACTTTTAACTAACTCCTAATTTCAAATACTGCCACACAATACTGGACTGCTATTCTCCAAAAAATGACCTGACAAACCTGTTCTCCCAGAGTATAAGAGCCACCTCTTGAGGCCTGAATACAAGTGCCATGCTCGCCTATTAAACGAAAACTTTGACATTCAGGTCCAATTTATTGTTTTGAGAGAATGTAGAAATTTCTGATATTTTCCAATTCACAAATAGCACCACATGATGAAGAAGAAAACACAGACAGAGGAAAGACCATAGACTTAGGAATCAAGTAACCATATACTCAATTCCAAAACTAGCCAGCCTCCAAATATAAGCTTGGGCTAACATGATCTCTGAGTCTCAGTTCTTGCAAATATAACATGTGGACACTAATAACTAGCTTACAGAGTAGCAGTGAAAACTAAATGAAATAATATACATAAATTATCTCAAAAATACCTTGGTAACTAACACATGTTCAACAACTGCTCCATTCTTTCTTGTTGTTAATTTATTAACATGTATGATAATAAACACTCTTCATTACAAACAGGTTTGATGGGGGAAGTCCTTCTATATATACGTCTCTCATATTGGTTAATGAATAAAAAACTGTTGGCCATAGGGAAGCAAGATAGGTGGGGCTAGGAGTAGAGGAGGATTCTGGGAAATGTAGTAAACACCGAGGGTCACCATGTGATCCCAGGGAAGAGATGAATGCCACTGGAGTCCTCGATAAGGTAAGTCTTTATAAAATCTATAGACTAATGGTTATGGTTGATATTTAAGACAAAGCTGGCAAATAAGAAATCCTAGTCATTGGCCAGCAACATTGTAACTAATATTAATCTGTGTGTTATTTGGGGGCCCTAACATGGGAGTGGAACTCAGGCAGCTGGTGGAAAGTGTTATCATTCCACAGGTTTGTATCTGGCATTCAATATCTGTGAATATGAACAAAAGGCCTAAATTTTCTCAACAAATCAAAGCAAGACAGACAATGCCTAGCCTGAGTATGTATGGAATATAGTATTCTCAGCTCAAGAAAATAATCCCACATGAAGATAAGTTATTTATTCTCCACCCTAGAAAGTATACAAGAAAAGAGAAAGCAACAACAGGCTACCTTGGCTGGTTGTCCACAGTGAGGCTCTCTCCCCTCTGATAGCCGCTGTCTGCCACCTGAGTGGTTGACCTCTTCACAATCTGCTTTAGCTCCTGTTCCAAACGCTCTTTAATGGCTTTAACTGTCTCGGGGATCTTCTTCAGTCTGGCCAACCCCTGAATAAGAATTCCCATGAAAAGAGTGCTGCTCTCCTCTGGATCACACTCCAAGTCCTCCTTGATGTCTTGCAGGTTCACCTCCCTCACTGTAAAAGAAAAGCACACCAGTAAGATGAGATGCAGTGTCCACATTAATTCAACAGCATAGCAGACTAATGAAGATCACTGCTTTGATTATTCTCTTAAAGGAATCAGAGGAATTTTCTATTAAATTAAGCTACATAGTAATATTCAGCAGCCCCTAATGCAAACTAATTGGTTAGTAATGAAATGTACAAGCAATTATATAGAAAGAGGTGAATCCAATTTCAATTTTATGTGTAACCTAGAAATGATGAACTTATGAGAACAGAGAGCAGAATTATGACTATTAGGCTTCAATGTGGGTCTTTTAACAATGTGGAAATGATTGGCTTAAGGATATAAAACTGCAGTTGGACAAGAGGCATGGACTCTGAAGTCTTGAGGTCTACTGAGAGCATGATAAATATGGTTGATAACAATATGCTATATTTTAAAAGTTGTGAGATAGTATACTTTAAGTGTTCTCAAAACAAAAATGATGAATATGTGTGATATAACATGTTAATTGGTTTAATTTAGCCATGCCATTTTGAACATACCGTATTGTGTATCATAATTGTGCATGACTTTATTTATGAACTAAATAAATGAATGAAAAAAAAAAAAGAGGTAAATCTCCGGTTTTACACAATTGTGACCCAAGTTCACTGACAAATTAACTACACACTGTCTCTAAAATACCAGACATGGCGTGTCAGGAGAACTCTAAAAACTCAAACCCCAGTCTCAACTTCCTACTATTAATTATAAGTGATAAACAGAGGGAATAAAAGATGTTATAAATACATGTAGGGGGCAAAAGTATATAACTACAACAAATAAAAAAGAAGAGAAAAACATGTAAGACAACATACCATATGAGAAGAGTTAGGGGAAAAATATAATAGTGAAAAAGTACTGAATGACTAACTACCAAGAAAAAAAAACATTTTTCTTCAAACATATGTGTGACTTAGCATGGTAACCCACACCATGTAATCCCAGCTACTGACGGGCTGAGGAATAGGGACTGAATTTCAAAGTGAGTGTGGGCTAGACAGCAAATTCTAGTCAGCCTAGCAAAAATAATGATACCTTGTTTATAAAAGTGAGTGAGACAGAGAGACAGACTTGTGGGGGCAGGGGGAGGTATTGTCTTTCACAGCCCTTTGTTACATCAATGAAAACCTTCTTACAAGTTATATTGTATGCCAAATATCCCTATAGGTCTTTATAATACAGCCTTTATCCAAACCATCTTTGTTCAAAAGGAGGAAACAGCCTCAAACAGTAGTCCTTAAGCTATGTCAGTGGGTCAGGAGGATTAGCTGGTGATCTGAGATCTCTGTCCCTACTAAAACTATGTGATAAATAAAATCCATATTAGGGCTGGAGAGATGGCTCAGCACCCATGAAGCCTGGAGAATGTGTTCTGGCATTCATGTAACAAGTTAGACATCTCTGAAAATGCCTGTGAGCCCATTAGATATCAAAGCCAAAGACAGCACAAGAACACTACAAACTAAAGCAGTATCTATTATGAAACATACTTCTCAACTCCGCATCTATATACCCATAATGGTTCATTATTCACAGCACTCATTATTATAGGGACAGCATTTAGAAGCAACCCAGGTGCTCACCAACACATGAAACAGAATAGCAAAATGTGATCTATACAAACAGTAGCATGTCACTCCACTTTAAAACTAGGGAAGCCTGACACACTGCAACATGAATGAATCTTGAATACATCATGCTAAGCGAAATAAGATTGTCACAGAGACAAAAACTCATTATTCGACATATAATAAGTTATTTGGGGGGGGGTCAAATACCTAGAACCAGAGTAGATAGTTGTTTTTCAGGGGCAAGGACTAGTTACTTTTTAATAACTACTGAGTTTGAGTTTTACAAGATGAAAAGAGCTATGCAGATGGATGGGGGAACTATCTACATACACTATGAATACACTTAATACTACTGATCTATACATTTTAATTAACTAAAATGTAAGCTTAGTGATTTGTATATTTTAACATAAAAGATGCACTTAAATATGAACCAAAGGTATTTTAGTAACATGCAAGATATAATTACTTAAACAAGCTCATTCTTATGAATAAATCCTCTATATATTTATCCATGATGTCTTATTAGACTTACTAGGCTCCCAGAAAGTCAGAGACAGAGACCATATTCATAGGGCAATAAAATATGTTTAATGATACAGAATTCAATAAGAATAATGTTTAATACTAATGAAATTGGAAGTAGAACCCAGAGGCTTAGCCTCAAAAGATAAAAATCTGAAGACAAGTTTTTAAAAGATCATCAATACTTTCAAATGTAATGTTATAAAAAATACACACTTCAGTTCCTGGTTTCGTTTTACACATGAAGAAGGAGGATACCTCAGGCCACAGAAATACTCTATCAAGCAAATCCAACCCCACAGCAAGGCAAGAAAAGTACTCAGCAACAGGGAGCCACCAATTCAGCACAGAGTAGGAGGAAATGAAGCTGAACTACAAGAAGAGCTTCAGGCAGGAAGAAAAGTAATGGAAATTTACCTGTTCAATATGCTCTTTGTAAAAACCACCCTTATGAGTCACAAACAGGACACATACAAACAGCCACCTAGACATCATAGCTCCCTGCCCAGGGTAACTGATGATAAGGTAAATACAGTTTAAGTCAATATGGCCTGCAATGACATGTCATATAGCTATGGATATGCACACTAATATGAGAGCTAACTCATGAAAAAGCAACACATGAACAAGACCTAAATAATGAAATGAACATCTGTTTAAAAACTTAACTTCTTGTTGTCTCTTGAAATCTCCTAGAGCATAAACACTTAACAGGCCCAATATATACTGATTTGTATTACCTATTTCACTTACATCAGCTGAAAACTAAAAGGCAATGTGAAAGGGTAATATAATCAAAATGACAAGTCTAATATTCACAAACATCTACAAGGTCAGATAGCATTACTAGAAAAAATATTCAAAACTAATTTAACTGAAATTCAGTAAGGCTACACACATCAATCAGAGCATACCTGTGCATCTTTCCAAACTCCTGATGTCCACATCATCCCCAAGCACCTGAATTGTGAACCTGAATTGTGATGTTGTATACCCAATAGATAGGTATTGGACATTTGAAAGCTAAAAATATATTACTTCCATTTCTAATTCTCTTAACCTTGAATTTCCATAGATAAATCAAGGGTAGTTTTAAGACTCCTGCTGCCTGATAGGATAATGTAACATACTAAAGAATGGGGATGACTTTTACCTTATTTGTCCTACACTCCTGATGGTTCCAAGTATTTACTATTATACACATTGCTTTCTTTATACAGACCTTGGCTGATGCACACAGCGGCAGCTGAGGGCAAACATAGAAGGAGGCTGTGACCTGACTGGATTGGTAAAGGATTAAGGAGAAGATAGCTAAGACCTTTTCAAGAAACATTCACATTCACATAAACTATGCCTCTATTTACATGGCTTAGAGCCACTTATATGGATACCAGTATTACAGACAGCACATTTATGGAAAAAAAAATAGCAGATAAGACTCAGACATGACAGTACGCACCTGAAATAATCACAGGATGAAGACCACCCAGGGGTCTTCATAGATGAAAACACTATCCCACAGAAATTGAACAAAAAAATAACAAGTAAACAAGGTGAATAATCTATTTATGAAGCTAAAAACTTTTGTTTAATGACTCTGCAAATGAATGTAGAAAGCAGTCTAGACCATCAGCCCATGGCTGCATTCTTTCCTCAATATTTGTAAGATAAAATCAGCACTTTGTATCATGGCTTACCACACACATCAAAATACTGCAGAAGACAAGGACCTTTAATTCACTGTTGAATATGCCATATCGTATCATTTGACACTACTGTTTGTACATGTTAATTAGGGCATGATACAATGGAAGTGTTTACTACGGGAACTCTTGACAGATGCCATTCAATATAAGTCACAATATCAAACTGTTCAAAGCTAATATACAGTACAGTATTTCAAGCTATGTAATTTGAATTACATGTTATAATGAAACAATATTAGCTCTGTATAAGAAAAGAACTATTTGCCAGTATTGCACAAAAGTAAATATAAAGAGGAGCCTTTGTCCTCACCATCCCAGATTTCATGCTCTATTACTATAGAGCTATAGTCCTGAAAACAGCTTGGTATTGGAACAAAAATAGAAAGGTAGACCAATGGAATAGAGTTGAAAACCCTGATATTAACCCACACACCTATGAACACCTGATTTTTGACAATCAATTCAAATTTATACGCTGGAACAAAGAGAACATCTTCAACAAATGGTGCTGGCATAACTGGATGCGGACATGTAGAAGACTACAGATAGACCCAAGCCTTTCCCCCTGCATAAAACTTAAGTCAAAATGGATCAAAGACTTCAGTATAAACCCAGCCACACTGATCCTATTAGAAGACAAAGTGAGAAATACCCTGGAATTAATCGGTACAGGAGACTGATTCCTGAACATAACACCAGTAACACAAACGCTGAGATCAACAATTGATAAATGGGACCCCCTGAAACTGAGAAGCTTCTGTAAGGCAAAGGACACAGTCAGCAAGAAAAAATGGCAGCCCACAAACTGGGAAAAGATATTCACCAACCCCACATCTGACAGAGAGCTGATCTCCAAAATATATAAAGAACGCAAGAAGCTAGTCTCCAAAACACCAAACAATCCAATTAAAAAGTGGGGTACAGAACTAAATAGACAATTCTCAATAGAGGAATCTAAAATGGCTGAAAGACATATAAGAAAGCGTTCAACATCCTTAGCCATCAGGGAAATGCAAATCCAAACAACTCTGAGATACCATCTTACTCCTGTCAGAATGGCTAAAATCAAAAACACCAATGACAGTTTATGC